TTGCGGGAAGAACACTGGAGAGTTATATTTCATTATTTACTGTATCCTTGCCAGTGTGCGGATGCAGAATCCGCTGCTGGCACCAAGTGGCTGCGAGTGGAAGCTGCTCCGGAGATGCTGGACTCACTGGCCATCTGTGTTACATGTGTAGATTTTGGGGCTGCAGTTCGGAGGGGGGCAGGACCCACCCCTGTTTCCTCCCCAGTTTCCCCGATGGTGGGGTGTCATGCATGGGAGCTGCTCCATCCCGTGCTGGCTGGTGCCCTGCGATGCCAGCTGATTGCCTCGGCCGTGCTTTTCCTTTCTTTAAGGTATATGAAAGGGAAAAAGGCTGTCAGAGGACTTGTTTGCTTGTAATAAATCTCACCGTTCTCTGCCCTGCATCCCGTCCTTGTGGGGTTTGGTCCCCCCGCTCTGAGTGACTGGAAAAATAACCAGTACAGTAACATCCCATGCATGAAAGCAAAGGATCGTGCTTACCTGGGAAAGGACACTATTTTTCCTGCCTTTTCAAATACCTGGGGGATTTTAACACTTAACATTGTTCATAGACTGTGTATTGAGTAGTGAAAGAAAAATTACTGTAGGCTTTGCTCCCTCCTTCAGTTTCAAGTGGAGACGATGGGTGAGCTGTGTTCAGTTGGCCAGAAGACATTCAAGAAGGCAGGAGAGCACAGATGTGGTACATCTGCTCCCAGACAGGGAGGTGGGAAAGGGGGTGTCAAGGGTAGCTGGTTTGGGTTTTTTTTTTTTTAAAAAAGCTGAAATCAAGATTTTTTTTTTTCCACTCACAAATCAGTTGAAGCCAAGTTTCTTTATGAATAAGCACGATTGCTAACATATCAGAAAAAAATAGGCAGAATTCTCTCACCAAAATTTTTCTTTTTTTTGCATCATCTTTAAATGACATCCCCTGCTCATCCCTTCTGTAATTAATTTAAATGTATCTGACGCTTGCTTGGAGGCAAGTTTTGAACTTTCTTTACCCATCACCGTGATTTCGTTGCTTTTTCTCTGTTCAGTGGTGATTATATTTGAATTTGGAAACTGGTTGTTGATGAGCTCTCGCTTGCCAGCCCCTTTCTAGGCTGGTCTTCACAATGAGCATAGCTGTGTGCCTGTGTATGGGAGAGCGTAATGCTTGGCCTCCAGGAATTGACTTTGGGCATCTATGAGTGTTGCGGTTTAATGTTAGAGGTGTTCATTTTAAAGTGAGATAAACCCAGAATAAGAATCATTAATTCCATGGTTTTCAGGCTTTTTTATTTCTTGTGAATAATATTTGTATGGTGTTTGGGCTCATCACTGCACGTGATGACCACCTGCAGAAATTAAAAGTTGGAACCAGTTTTGGAGCCCACAGGGAGGGGGAATGAGTTGGTTTATTCACAGGGTCTCAGGATGATTTTGTACTTTAAAGAGATTTTATAAATAAGTTATTTTAGTTACTTCATCTTAGATTTGGTTTATCTTTATTTTGTCCTTTAACACAATCTCCCAACTGTGCAATAAAATAAAACACTAGCTCTTTCATCTCATGCAATGGGTCTGCTGCAGGTGAGGCTCTTGCTACTGCTGTGATCAAGACTCGGGCTATGGCAGTAGCATGGGTGCTCCACTTCATTTTCAAGAAATTTTGCAAGATGCCAAAAATACTGCGAGCATCAGCATGTTAATTGTGCTCCACGTTTCAATACTGCTGCTCAGAGCTGGTGAGATCCTCATACTTGAATATTGGAGTTATTTTTAACAGATGCTGTAGAAAGTTTGCCTCCAGAAGGACTTTCCCTGCCTGCCTTGCCTCATGTCTTTGACAGCTGATGCAATAGCACTTGTTAATTTTTATTTTCCTGGTAGTACTGAAGAATCCCCGGTGCCTGGTCTAGACCAGGTTGCCCAAACCTCAAGTTTGCATGTTTTGCTACACCTCTTGCCCATCCTTTCCTTGCGTGAGTGATGGTTGAAAGCGTGCCAGTAGTACCTGCCGGGAAACTTTTGGGCCAGTACACTTCATTTTTGTAATGTAAAAGGAGTAGCGGGTGCCAAGTGGCATCAGGCAACCTCTTGGGGGAAAAACTTGTCGTGTGGCTATTTAGACATATCGGTCCAGCTGCAGCTTTCCACCAAGGAAATCCCTAAAACCCTGAGGACCAGAAGCTGAGAAGGTGAATCACAGGAAGAATAAGCATTTTACCCCATTGCTTATTCTCCAACTATATGCATTTAGTAATAGGTGCCACTAAATAAGATAACTTAGTTTATCAGTTTTTAATACTGACATTTGAGATGCAGAAGTTAATTTGCATTGAATTTTACAAGTAATCCTGCTTAAAGCATGCTTGTTTGCCTTTCTCCCAGCTGCGTGGCTGCAAAGATTGATTGGAAATTACAGCATTATTCTTAACATACCAACTTTCTCCAGGTAATCCTTAAACCATAGGTGTGTTTCATCATCTTTTATTTGGCAAAACCCAAGCGAGGGGAGCCGAAGGGCTCACTGAGACCCTCTACAGCGGCAGTGGGCCAATTGTTTTGAACATCTGAGGGTCATGGCTGAAAATGGGAAACAAAGGAAAGCTGGGCTGAAACGATGTGTTTCATCATCGTGCTCCTGTTAAGACTTCTTCAGCGTGGTGTTTGGAGAATAATCCTGCTTTCTTATCTTCAAGTTGGCACCAAAAGGCTTTGTGTGAGACATGTCAGGAGAAAAATGCAAAGTTTTTTTAAAATTTTTTTCTGGTCTTTTTTGCATCCAGTAGTGCAAATCTGACCACCATCTGAATGCCTAGTTACAAAAAAAAACTGTGAGGAAATGGCCCTTTTTTATTTCCCCATCTGCTCATGTTACCCCATGGAGCTGCACAATGCCTGCTCCTTAATGCAGGGCAGGGGGAGAGGACTGGCAGGCTTTTACATGCTGACTCAAGACTTTTCTAAGCATATTCAACACTTATGAGGTTGATTTGAGATACTCAGACCCGTTTCTTATCCATTAATAAAAGATGCTGGCTCATGCTCTGCTAAAACTTGGGATATTTGAAGATGGTTGGTAGAAAAATACTGACTTATGTATTTTGGGCTGAAATTAGGAATATTATAGTTGAAGAAAGCATTGGTGCTGCTTTTGAAACAGTACTGACTGTGAATTTTTGTGTCTCTTGGGTATTGTAAAACTTGTTCGCATTCTTCAAACATGGCATGCTTTTCAATGAAGAACACATACTTTTCCTCCAAATGAGTTTTCCTCTCCCCAGCACACGAGAAGGGGAGAGGCCAGTGTTTTGTGTCATGAGTAAACCCCAACATCTGCATCAGACGACAGTAAAAAGTGCCATCTTTTTCCCCAAATACTGCGTGGGCCACTCAAGCGCAAGCACAAGGTGCTAAGAAGCAGAATTTGTCCAGCTGGGAGCTGCCTCCTGCCAGCATAGTCCATCCAAACCTCTCCAGCCCTGGTGTTTCGTGCATTTCAAATGCAGTAGGAATCACTTGGTGTCCCACTGGGAAAAGCAGCAAAAGTCTGGCTGATATGCTAATAACTAAAAAATATTTACCTCCAACTTGGCATTAGCGTGGAAATTGTAATAGCTTGTTTGCAAGCAGCCTAGTTGTTACACAGCGTAGCTGAAGAGCATATATATTAAAAGCGTATATAGCCAGCCATGTCTGGAGCTCTGCCTACACACAGATTGAAAGCAAGGCTGGTGGATCTGCCAGCTTTCATCTCCCCACCTTGATTGCGGTTGGGTGCCTTGCTGGCTTTTGTGTTAGCTGTGTAATTAAGCACAGAAGAGCAGTTGAGGCAGAAATGGTTAACTCGCCGAGCAATATAATGTCAAGTCAGTGGTACTGAGTTGTTCCATAGGAGTTTAAAAATTAATTTTGTTGTTAAATGTCATCTTCTGGCTTGTGATCAGCTATAGTGTAGGTCATGTGTTTTCTGATAGATATGAAGGAAATCAAATAAAGGGTCCTGAAGGCTGAGGTCTGTGAAACTGAAGTCGGTTGAAGTCTAACGTTGATGTTTCTAGAGCCACAAACAGGTGGAGGGAAAACGGAAAAGTTGAAATCTGCATTATTCATCTGGCAGAGAGACGTGGTGCTAAAACCCAGCACCTTCCCATAGTCGGGAGAACTGCTCTTCCCTTCTCCCCTGCAGTGAAAGCCAGGAGAACATAAACTAGTGCCGGCAAGGTGGGTTGATGGAGAAGACCTTTCTCTGCTGAAAGGCTTGTGGGAAGTTCTGCAGGGGCCTCACAGCAGCGTTCGTAAGGGTCTTGAAGGGGCTTAGGACAAGGAGAACTTTCTGGGACTGGGGAAGGTGAGGTCTGGAGACCTCCATGAACCTTCCCTTGCTGAATCCGCCTCTACAGGGCTTGGAGCAGAGAAGAGCTACAATGAGACCTAGTTTTTGCAAGATTTTTCTTTCCTGGTTTATTAAGCACCAGCCCCTTTTATAGCAGTCACAGAACCGCTCCTACATATACTTCTTTAGAAGCACACACTTGCATGTTAGCTCAGTCCTGCACAGGTTTTTGATCAATCAGAAGAGATTGCTGCTGCAGCAGCCAAATTCTTTGGGTGCTTATTCAGACATCCAAGCTGGAAGTCCCTGTGTAGAACACCTTAGAATTTGTTCTTGCTTTTCACCCCTTTGGAGACCTGTGGACACTAGCTTGGTTTCAAGTTAATAATCCCGACTTTTCAAGTCGAGCTCTACAAATGCTGTCCCCCTGCGAGATAAAACTAGGAGGGCAAGATACAAAGACTTTTTCCAGAGGTGGTCCAAGAAACAGCACATAGAGAAAACGTTGACTTACTGGTGGAGACGGTCTCGGGGGAAACAAATATTCAAATGCGTTAGGATTTCTCCTTCATCAGTGTTTCCTGCAATATTAATTATTTATTACGGTGCCTTTTTACACCCTTCCCCTGGATGGAGCTTTCTGCTGCACAGCCTTGTTTTCATCTCCCCTTTTGTTTTTTTTTTCCCATTCCAGTTTGAGCGGCACGACCCAGTGGAGGGGCGGATCACGGAGCGGCAGTTCGGCAGCATGCTGCTGGCCTACAGCGGGGTGCAGTCCAAGAAGCTCACTGTCATGCTGAAGCAGCTCAAGAAGCACTTCCAAGACGGAGAGGTCAGTGGCGTCGGTGGCAAATTTGGGAAGTTGCAGTGGGGGCAGCCCTCCGGCACTGTGCTGAGAAATGAGTAAGGAATCTCCATCTTCTTAAGAAAAGCACCTGTACCTTGTTAAGCAGTGCGGGGAGACATGCTGACTTTGCAAATGATAAATACTTTGCCAGCAGCAGGGAGATGGAAGAGGTGCGAGTACAGTGATCAGTGTCCAGATCAGGGTGTAGGCTTGTCCCTATTAAAATGGATGCTGTAATTTTCAAAATTTAAATTTGCTGGACAGCACCCTGGGTCTGGAGCCAGAATAAACATTGAAGACGTGTTCCTAGTTACTGGCTCAACCTTGGATTAATTAGCTGCTGCAACTGGGCAGTTTAGTATTTAGTTATGAACTTACGTGAAAAATTATTTTAATTACTCATGATTTAGAGAGGAATATGGTTGCAGATCCTACACTCGTTAATTTAGTGAGAGACCTTGGAATAAGACATCCGTACCGAAAGGATGTGCTTTATCAGGTAAGGCAAGTATGGGCTGCTAAATTACTTCAGTATTAGAATTTCACATCTGCTTCTATAAAGGTGGATTGTTCCTTTATTAACTAGGTTATAAACAAGCAATTCATCAAAACGAGAATGGATAAAAAGTCTTTGGCTGCGTATTGGGTCGGTCTGACTGTTTTAGAGTTGCTTCCTCCTGACACCAGAACTGGTGTTTATTTCTTAACTGGTTTAGATGCAAAGTGTGTTATAAAACACAGGCATTGGCCAGGGTCCAGTCCTTTTTTTGTCCCTCTTTGGTGCCTTAACTGGACTCCTGTGATGTGTAGGAATCCTCAGTTCATGTGAAGCCACTCCAGTGGCTTTTTTCCCCCATTTTCTCCCTCTTTCACTGGTGCTGGAGGAGAATTTGGGCATACTGAAGCAGTGGAGCATGTAGACAGATAGGTCTCTGTTAACTGCAAATAATGTCAAAAAGTTAAAAACTGGAGGAAACCATAAGTGAGCCAAAAGGCTTTTCCTGCCAGAGGAGCTGCGGTACCTGCAGCTTCTCATGGCTCCAGAAAGAGCTGCTTTTTTTTAAGATTTCCCTCATGTTTTGTAGGAAAATAGGCTCAATATTTAATAGGCTGTTATCAATAGATGGTGTCAATGTGTCATTGGAGCTGGGACGCGTTGCATGTTAATATTTGGAAATCTCACTTCTCAAGCTCTTTGTTGCCAGCTTAAATAAGACCATTGATGTTTCCAAGGTTGTGTCCGTTTATTTGATCTTTGAGCGAGACACTGCAGATTCAGCTTTTCCAATACCTCTGCTCCCCTTGAGTTTTAACAGGAATCATTTGATTTCTTGCTGAAAAAATACCTGTGATGCGTGTTTAAAAGAAAGTATCAGCTTTGTTGTTAATGTTCCCAAACTGTCAATTCTTTTGCTGTGATTTTTTTTTTAATATATATATATGCACATACACACACACATATATATATTATTGAACAGTAGCTGGGTATTTGAGAAATTAGACAGAGGGAGTTATTTTGGAAGGTTTCTCACAGCAGATGTTTTAGTCCTTTCATGTGTAAGCCAAGACCCTGACATCTGTGGCAGAGGAGGAACTTTTTGTTTTTACCTTATTCCTCATCCCCAGCCAGATTGTGTTTCTATTTGCAGATAACCGTATTCAGAGCAAGTCTTTTTCTTTCTTTATTCTGAGGACTTTCAAGGAGAGAAATTGGGGAATAGGACAAAAAATGACATTTGCAAGAAACAGAATTGGTGGAAAACACTTGATTCCTTAGACCAGGGGGAATGAAACACACAAAATCCTAAAACGAGACAGCCTCTCTGTTAAGAACTACAAGGTATTTAATGGTTTAAGGAGATCTAAAGGATGTGAGATGTGCCAGCCACTTTGCACTGGAGGCAGATAAGCCTTTTTTGCAGCCAGGGCAGCTTAAAGTCAATGCTTATTCAGAGCTAGAGAAATCAGGCACTTGAAATCCTCCATTTCAGCAGGTTTTAGTTCACGGACAATCCAGCCTGGTGCCTAACTTTGCATGTTCTTTTATACAAGAGAACCTTTTCTTGAAAGTTCGTGGGGTTCTTTTTTCCCCTGAGGTATTTTAGAAGACCATATCCCTTGCAGATGTCTGCAGCACGTTGTATCTAAATACACTTATGTACTTTTATTGGATCACCCTGGTGCAGCTGTCAGTGTTTTTATGTAGCTTAAATTTCCCCGTCTCTTTAGAAACAGGACTGCCGTGACCAGAATCACATTAACTGCCTTTCGAGCTTTCTGGATAACTTACTCAGGGATGCGCTTGCAAAGTTTTCTTTGTAAATGAATGGGGTATTAAGCCAGAGCGCGTTCTCCCACTTGAAACTGCAGAAGCTCGACGCTGGCGTTGCTTCTTCCTCTGTGTTTGTAACCCAGACATCTGCAGAGCAAGCAGCCGCTTCGGTCGGGCTCTGCTTTACTCCCATCGTATAAAAAGGGAGCGGAGCCGGTGCTATCCACTGCTCTCCTTTTGGCTCCCAGACCTCAGAGACATTAAAGCCACCCAGCCACTTCTTTTGTCCTGTGATACTTTCCAGTCCCTGAACTCCTTGTAGGTCAAAGAGGTTTACGATGCAAACATGTTTTGCAGGAAGAATTTTTCCCCAAATCCCTTCTTTTCACACTTCACTAGCCTACTTTTAGAGCAGCGTAGTATCATTATCTGCACAGTTTAGTAACCTGCCGTAACTCCCCTCTATGCCGAAAGCAGTAGGAGCTTTGACTTGTTATTGCTTTCCAAATAAAGTGGGACTAAAATATTTTTAATAGTGTGATGCTGGGAGGGGAATGGCAGTAATTGTACCAAACCTACCCGGCAAGCTTTACGTCAGAAATGCAGTTTACCTTGTAAGTGCTTTCTTACAAAATCTGCCAAACATAATCTTCATTGTCTGATGCAATTACCTTTTCTGCACAAGGCAATCCTGGCAGCCTCCAAAATGTTAAAGGTCTGGTTTTAATCTAACCTTCAGCCCTGCTTTTGGAAATTGCATGTTTTCTTGTATTAATTGATAATCTGCTTTCATTCTTATTTTTCTTGAGGAAAAATCCCATCTTACCCTGGATACGTGAACTCCTCTGCATATTCAGCGAGCTGCCACACTCTACTTTGTTTAAAATTGCTTACGATCATCCTCTTTGAGTTATACTTACACAGCTGCTTTTCCCCTAGTAAAAAGGACTTGAGTTGTTGGTAGTCTTTACAAGCAAGGTATTTGGTTTATGTCTCTCTCACTACTAGAAACCCAAGCTGACTCTTCAGAAACTAGTGATTCAGGTTATCTTCTACACGTGCTTTGGGGGCTGTGTAGCATATTTTTCTGTTGAGATGGCAGAGGGTGGGAGCGAGTTGTAATTCTCCCCAGCTGAAACCTGGGTTCCCAGGTGAAAAGCCCTAACTTTTGCAGAAGGTGTTTGAGCTGTTGTTAAGATGCATGTTGCAAGCAGATACGTGTTTCTGGAGTCTGCCTGCTTACGTTATCGTTAGTATCATCTAAATGATGAAAGGATTCAGGCTTATGAATCAACAGCTAGCTCTACAAATGCCTTGAAAGAAGTGATCATCCAGATCCCATAATCACTACCCTAGTGCTCTCTGGATATGCAATTTCTTGTGATTCCAAATTAACACAAGCCTCTCATATCATGGAAACATCTATTGGTCTTTGAATGGAGATGTGAATAACTTACGAAGAGCCGAGCAGCGCTGACAAACACACTGATGGGGAATAGATACATTCCCATACTCAGACTTTTGACTGATGAAGGTGATCGGTCATCTGTCAACTTGAAAGTGCAAGCTTGAGGCTGTCCCAGTCTCTGACTTTATTTTTATTTTGGTAGCTGGAAAGGAGTTAATGCTGATGCCAGCCTCAACTATAGGATTCATCAATAAAAATACTAAATTTCATAATACTGATGGCACTTTTTCTACAGAGATTCAGTGTCTTTGTCCACATAAAGCCCAAATTTGTAGGATACCTCAGTATGTCATTGTTTTTGTTTTTTCAGCTGGTGAAAGGACCATGAGTTTACATATGTAAGCATGTAAACCTTCTCTGTTACCTGTTGAAGCAAGAGCAACTGCAGTGTTGGTACTAAACAAGGGGCTGTTTTGCCTGCACGGCAATGCTGTTTGGCCTTGATGTCTGCCATTTCATGGTGGAAAATTCCAGGAAAATGCAAAATTGGGGGTCTTTGCCTAGAATAGCTGCTGGGATGCTTTGCCGCCACTACTGCAAACCTCAGATGTCCCAAACAGAGCAGGTAAACCACAGCACAGTGTCTTCTGCTGGCCTGAAAGTGGCCACACGCCTCCTGGTTCCTGCAGGCTTTCCACATTTTTAGTGCTCTGCTCCCAGGCAGGAGCATGTCAATCAGGAAATGCATAGTAGGGAGGCATCCGTATGGCTATCTGAATCGCAAAGATCTTTTCTCCTCTAGATCTGTTGTACAAAACAAAGGAATCTTTGCAGTACTTCCTGCAGAAGTACCTGATTTATTTTTTTTTTTTGCTACGACAGTATTTTATTTAATTTTGCCATACATCTTTTAGCATGCCGCTTGGGAAGCGGAGCAGGTCTACATTTAAAAAAAGCTCCCTGTATAGTAACTGGGGATTTTTTTCAGATCCGCTGTCCATGTGTGTGTTTTGCTATCTCATCCTTTTTGGTCTGGATCCACGAATCCAGGGCTGACAAAGCCTGCTGTTGCATTTGTCGCTGTGCACACTGTGCAATGTACATCAGTGGTGCGTTGCCACATACTCAGTTACAGCAAAGATAGTAACAAGCTGCACATTTTCTGTAATTCTGCTTACAATTCTAGAGGCACCATGTCTGTATGAGAAGATCATAAAAAATGTGCTTTTTCTTTCAAAAAAAGATAGGTGGCTTCTTCCCTGGTTAGAAGTTGTTGGGAAGAGTTTGAGCAGGGATACAACGGATCGTATAAATTTATATTTGACAGTACCTGCTGAAACAGTGCTCTTCCACACACACACGGACACAGT